CCAGGACACTGACATGTTGGAGTAACGAAAACAGAGGGAGTGGGAACGAGTTTAAGTATAGTCACACAGACTCCTTGAATTCCAGACAATGCTTTTCTGAACTCCCTAACCCGGCCACTACCTTACAATTTCCTATGGAAACCGCACTATTTAGATTATTTACAAAACCTTACGCACTGCACTAGGAAGACATTTCGGTCCTCAATAGTGATATTGGGCAGCATAACGCCAATCCAAGATTAGTGTTAAACTGCCTACGAGACGCAAGTCAGGCTCTGAAACCAAGGAAATGCCAGCTACTGCAATGCTCATCAACTTTCTGGGATAAGCTGTCTCTTTGGATGGGATGACATTTACTGAAGCCTGTAAAAATAAGTGAGTACTTAGCCAATAATAACTAATCAAACGGGACCTCGTACTTGTTTGGATCTGCCAGGTTATTATAGGCATTTGTTTGAAGGTTGTGTCAAGGTCACAGAATAAAAGCAGGCAAAAAGAATCTCTGTTTGAGTAAAGAGCATGCTAAATCGTGTAAAAAAGTGAGGCAAATACTTCGCTTTGCACAGATTCTAGCACTGTGTAAAAGAAGGCATGCCAGCTGTGCACCGGTACAGATAATCGCGAATGTAGGAAATGCATGACAGAATTCCGATGACGCCTCGGCTACTAGAATCGCGAATATTACTTATACCACACTTGATACAAATATGACATTTTACTACATACAATCCTAAAAATTATGAACTAAATCAATCATAGCATTTGCTTTTAAAAAATATTACCAGTCTGTGTAATTTTGTGTATTTTCAACTGTGTTTTATCTTTAACATTATAATTTTTTGCACTGGGAAATTAAGCAGAAATAAATATCTTGCTAAAGCTTGTTTTTCCAAATAAACATTTCTTTTTAATTTACGAGGGCAGTCACTTCTCTCACATTCAGCGTACTGCTTATACGACCTGAAAGAGCACTGTACTGCTCGATGCACCACAGGATGTCACCTGTAAGCCGGTCGAACTTGATTTCCACGTGATAATAGATTTTTATCAATGAGCCATGGTTTTACCCTATTAAGCTTGTTACCTCTGAGCTTCGTGTAGGAAATTATTTAGTGTGAGCAGATTTCCGTAGATCACTTGCACGCGAATGTGTCAGCTGTAGGGCGTCATTGCTGTTTGCAAACCACTACAGTATCTTTCCCTTTTAAGGTGACAGCATTTCACAAATGACTTTTCAGCCATTTGACTCCAACGTGCTAACACTGTATCATTTTGTATATGCATAAACTTGACTTGAATTATTCATTCGTAATTTCACTTTACTTCTACGCATGACTTAGTGTGGTCTTTTAAAACCAAATACCACTTTCCTAGTAAGATTTGCTTTTATTTTAAATCACCTCTTTACGTAATTTTACAAATCAATCCAAATTAAATTTAAAATGTTGACTTCTGCTGCATTTGGCCTGCCTTTTACAGGGTCGATACAAGTAAAGTTAACATCATAACCTAAAAACTTTAATTGTTTCCACATTTGATGCTATTTAATGAGCACTGTGCAACCTTTGAGTGACGTGTTGGAAAAAATGTGACCTATTTGGCACCATCACACGATTACCGCTTACATGTTGTCGTTAAGACAATAATCAAATGCATTGTGCCATAAATAGGTTTCAACAAGGATGACTCTTACACCCATTACACTCCGCTGCACATTTGCTGATTATACGTTTATTTAATTTTTTCAGCTCATCAATGCGGACACTGTTCACAAGAAGGTTGAAGATGCGTGAGGCAGAAATGCGGCACGGTGAATCACATTATGCCGTCGCTGGATTGTCCGTAACGCTTACTACTGTATCTGTTTAAACGTGTAACAAAGAAGGAGTAAGCCTCAAGATTTCTCACCTCACTTTTGTGGCAAGGAAATGGAGTATCGTAGCTAACACAAGATGACAGGAAATGCTAAATAATTTGGAGTGTATTTTTGTGGAAGATATCAATGCCTTGTTAATGTGGGCTTAAACCAAATAACATCACCGCTAATCAGTCTTTCGTCGGGATAATGGAAGTCGACCTGGCTTTTTTGGGGACCTTTATGAATGCATTACTGGAAAATTTTTCACTACCAGTAGACTCTAAAAGGTGGCTTATGTTGTAACGAAGTCAGTTCTAATTCGGAGCCAAAAACAGGAGTATTCCATCCGGAATGAAATGAATAGCAGTAAAGTGCTTTCACTGCTCTAGCGGTAACTTGAGAAACAGTTTGTGCGCCTTGGACAAGAGTAAAGACTCACTTGCATGCAGGCTTCATTCAACTTTAGCTGTCATTAGGGGCCTCTGTGTGTGCACTGTGAGCGGTGCGTCTATGACTAGTGACAGGGCTATAAATGCCTATAACATTGAAAATAAAACGATAGCCACACATTGGGTTAGGAGTTGGGCTACTTCGTGGACTCGGCTCCTACTGCAAGAGACACCTTTGCCTGCTTAAACAAACTTCATCTAACTTTCACTTTTTATGATGTACCACAAAGCTATTCAGTGCTAAACCACCATCTCCTCAGCAACAATTCAAAGTCATTTCACATGCCATTGGTCAAATTTACGGCTTCACACAGCTACATTGCCAGTCCAAACAATTAATGATTAAAAAACGTTTCAAAGTCAGGCTAAAATTAATGCATTTATTGAGCCTTTCCGATGGCAATAAGGCAGTTTCATTCCACTTCAGGTTGTGACCATTGCAAATAGCTGGATGTTTGTTGGAAGTCAAATAAATGAGCTGCAGTGTAATCTTGTGCATTTATGACCAATGCCATAGCGGGAGGCAAATCGATGGCAGAATTAACCCTGCAAATACAGCTACACTTGTTACAAATTCGCACCCATCCATCCACATCATTCTGTTTCACGGACAACTTGCTATTGAGAGGATTGAGCAGCATGAATTAACAGATTATGATATTCGATGCATAACGGAATGGCACCATAGTGTAATTTGATGAAAGCATGTGAATATGATGCATGGGCAATGAAAGAATATCACTTCATGAAGCAGTTTTTAGTTGACGAAATCTATTGGATCAAAAAATAGGGCATACTATCAAGACATTTGAATTGGGAGATGCGAATACCTCAAAACTAAGCTAGTGAGGGTGAGTTCTGCAACTCTTGTTAGATTAGTCGCAAACCGAGCCTCAACGTTGCTTTTTTTTAATTCATTAACCACTGGAAGGACCGCTAATTCACGTACTGTGTCAAGGTGGAATTGCAGCTATTTGGTCGATGATTATGGGGGGTTAAACCTTTTTGCCCTCCCCTATTTCAGTTTTAGAGTAATAAACATTCAACCTCATATAACCTTTCAATCAAGGTGAAGAAGATGAAAAAACGAGATACACTAAAAAGTAAGCTACATGGACATCCTTCTTAGGTGTGTTGTTGCTAGCATTGAGTGCGTTACGATGCTCACTAGGACTGGGGGTAGGGGATGATACGAGCATACTAGGGGTTTAACACATTCTTCCTTTGAGTTAAATTTGCATACATTGCTTACGACGGTTTTGCTTAAGCTCGGTGAGTCCAAATTATTTTCTCGGTTTACTTAGCCTGCCCAGACTGACTTCATTATAATATCTTTCTCCAAATGTCTACGTTTGCTTATTGACCATCAAATTGACTCCAGTTTCTAGCCAAAGTTACCCAAAGGAGGGACTTTGGAAACAGGAAACGGATTTATTTAATGCCAAAAACCTATTTGCAGCTATCTCGAATTGCCTGAGTTGGATCCTGGTGAATGGAGTTCTGGTTCATGTAGCCACCAGGATCGCAAAAATCTGCCATTCAAATGTTAATAGCCAAAGGTACTTGGAAACTCGGATTTGGTGTGATCAGATAGCAAAATGAGGAATCTTAATTCCACATTTGCTATCATAAGAATAGTGAAGTTCCCCTCTTTTCCTCCTCCCCATTCGCATTATTCTCCTTTGTTTTGCAATCTCCCGCTCCTAGATCACGAAAAAATTTGACAAAAATCATAATGCCGATACATGTTGTATCCTCAGCTTCTACGACATTGCTAATTTTCGAACATTGGAACAAATCCATTAGCAATAGAAACAATGACATTGGACGATGCGACGGTAGGCATCAAAACTACATTCGACATCTGTTCCAATCCGTTGTTTCAAGCACACACATCTCCACTTTGTTTACTATCGCAGCGCCTCAGCCTACGTTCTGGGCTTAGGGTTTGTCGTTAATACTGTCGCTGTCTTACAAGCCGCTATCGCTATAGCCATTGGGAATGCATAGGGGCAATTTTCGCAAGATTACACTGCGCTGGGAACGGAAAACATAGAAGAGCAGATAGAAAGGAAGAATAAGAAAGGAGCTGATAATCTACGCAGGTGGTCAAGATAATCAGAGAATCGACTAGGATCATTGCTCTGTGTACAACATTTTTCTGCAAAATGAGAAAACGTCGAGCCATGTGTAACTTGCAAAAATAGTTTTAACGTCTCTAACTGATATGCGCATTTGATCGGATTGGATATTGACGAATTTGGGGGTTGTGTGGTAGTATTGGTAGTGGTAATAGTAAAATCGTTAGAGTGTACACAGAAAGGTGTTTTGGGTACTGGCAAATTTAATGAGTCGAACCATTCACTGACTGCTGTGATTGGCGAAGTTGATTTGATTCTGATGCATGCGAAGCATTTGTTCTCCCATTAAATTTGGTTTACTTCATTTGATTGCCATTTAGCTACTTTAGGACCATGGAGGTGTTTCAGCCAAAATAAACAATAGTGATGAAATAGACAGCCGCAGTTATACAGCAAAGCGAACGTTCTATTGATCTAATGCTAAGCTTGGTGGGTTTTCTAGTTGATGTGAGGAAGTCATTCAAGCAGCCAGCCGCAAAACATGCTGAATGACATAAAA